GTGCTGCAATCTTGAAGAACAGTGCATCTACATTCAGGAAAAACCTTTAACATCTTTAAAATTAAATTAAATTAAATCTTTTACGTTGAACATGTTTAGATAGGGAGTACATTCCGATAAAGTGGAAGATTGCCGATTTGAGAGTGCTCTACAAGGGGGGTGACAGAGATAGGCAAGTCGCTAAATCATACAGACCAATCTGTCTCCTCCCTGTGATGAGTAAGGTCCTGCATTACCTAATACTAACCAGTCTGAGACCGACACTAGACAGAACTAGCCATCCACGGCAATATGGATCCACCAAAGGTAAGGGAACTGCCGATGCCTTGTTCCAAGTACACCACGATGTTGATGAGAAGGTGGAGAAACATGTCATGTTACGGTTGTTTGGCATATCCTCAGCCTTTCATAGCGTGTGGTGGCCGAATGTGCTACAACAGCTACAAAAGTTTGAGGCCCCCAGCAACTTGCATGCCTTAATGCAGAGTTATCAAGAAGGTCTAAAAGTAAGGATATGCGGCAGCTTCTATGAAGTCGAAGAAAGAGTGGAAAGGGAATGTCCGCAGGGCTCTGTCCTTGGACATGCTCTTTGGAAGTTGGTATTCGATGAATTGCTGGGGCCACTCGAAGAGGAGCGGTTCCCTGCCACAGCCTATGTCGACGACCTGGCCGTAGTTGTGGCATCCGACTGCAGAGCCGGCATGAAAGGAGAAGCAGAAAGGTGCGCCAATCTTGTCGGAGAATGGTGCGAGAGGAAAAGGCTGAAAAAAGCTGGCGCCAAAATCCAAGCTTTACTTCTAAAGGGTAAGACGACTAGGGCTCATCCTATTTTCATGAATATACAGAGGATAAGGATAAATCCGAGTGAGGAAGTAACCTATCTTGGTGTGAGATTCGGTAGAAGATTCAATGTTACTCCTCACTTGGATTACCTGCGAAGTAGGGTGAAACTAGCTCTCAATGGAATAAATCGTATTGGTGGGGCATTAGGTATCCAGCAACGATTACTATCTATAATGGAGTAGTAAAGGGTATCTTGAGGTACGCCTCCCCAGCTTGGAATCGTAACCTCTCGCAACTACAGAAAAGAATATTGACGACAATCCAGAGAACGGCTATGCTGCGAGTAACAAAATCCAACAGGACTGTTGCTCATGAAGCGGTGCAGGTTTTAGCAGGAGGAGTACCTCTCGAGCTCCTACTGCAAGAAGACAAAATTAAGTATATTCTTAAGAAAGAAAGCTCAGCAAATCTTCCGGAAAATCTCCAAGAAAGGATTGCGGCTGAATAATCTAAATGGTATAGAATAATTCGGGAGGACACCATGGAGCAGTGGAATCAACGGTGGGTAACTACACATAAAGGCTCTACCTTTACACTTCCCTACCGTCTATTCAAGGTTGGAAGCGAAATGGGTCCTCCCTGATTATTAGTTCTTAGGATGGGTAGTTCTTAGGATTTATTTGGGTGGTAGTTGATGAAGGATCTGTGGGGTTAGAAGGTCGTATCCAGGAGATTTGCGGTAAGATAATTGTTGTAAATGATTTTTGACCTCAGAAGGATGAACTGCTTTTGGTGGTAGGAAAAGTGGAATTGGTGAGGAGAGGATTTTTTCTACTTTTGTTGTATGGATGGAATGGGATTCAGGATGAGGAGTAAATGTACCGGAGAGGTGTTTGGCGAATTCCTCAGCTTTGTCTTCATCAGAAACCGCCCAGGAGCCATCGCCTCGACGGAGGGGATGGGAAATATTTTGAGATTTTAGAATTGTTTGAGTAATATTCCAGAGGGAATTGTCGTGAGCGGAGATGGAGGTAAGGTAAGAGTTAAAGGATTGGGTTTTGAAGTTGAATAATTCTTGCTTTACTTTTTTAGAGTAATAATTATAGGAACGGCGATCTGTGGGATGTCTGGTGCGTTGCCATAGCACCCTGGTACGGCGTTTGGTTTGGATTAACTCGAGGATGTGTTGAGATAACTTATTTTTCTTAGGAATTATTGGGAAATGATTAGGGGAGGAAGCAGTCCAGACTGCTTGTTGAATGGTGGTGGTAAAGGGGTGTACGGCATTATCACACCCTAGGTCTTCGGGGGTTTCCAGGGTTATTCTGAGGTCAATTTGTTCGGAAAGGATTTGATGAAAGAGTTTCCAGTTGACTGAACCTCTGATAAAGGACGGTGGAGAGGGTTTAGGAATAGGAGCTAATGATACTTGGAATATTAATGGACTGTGGTCTGAGGAAAGTTCATCGAGGCGTGCAATGGAATAGTTGAGGGAACCTAAACCACTGTGAATGAAGAAATCAAGAATATCGGGATTTCCGTTATGATCAGTGGTAGGTGAGGTCGAGGAAACTAGGTGAAAACGTTGGGTGCATTTGAAATTGCGTGCATTGAAATTGAGTGCAGACAGCAGTGTTCAGCCGCGAGAATTTGTGGTTCTTGAGCCCCATTGTTGATGCTTGGCGTTTAAGTCTGCACCCAGGATGAAATGGTGTCCTAAGAAATTGAGGAGGGAACTGAATTGGGTATTAGAGATGGTTTGGTTAGGAGGGCAATTGGTTGGAAAATTAACATTATCTTTGATAATAAATGACATGTTGCCAGGAGAATCAAGATTAGAGGTAACTTGGAATCACAATTAAATAAAGTGTATCTCTTTTAAACGCACAACCATGAACAACCAACAATTTACAGACATTTGTTTCTTCAAACAAAGCACAAAAGCTTCAAGGCACAAAATAGACAATGGGAATTTGCAAACAAATTTAAATGCATCTCTTGATTTACATACTCAATTTGGTGATAATCAGACAAAAAACAAAAAAGTTACTTTCGAAACACATATTTTACGTAATTTATTACGTAAACGAAAGTGTTTCTACAAATCTATTTCCAAAGAGTTATTATTGAGATACAGGAGTTGATGCACACAATATAGGAAGGTCCAAAACCTGTCCTATTCGTATTTAAACCTGATTAGGATAAGGAGAAAAACAAAATGGTGCCCAAAAGGTGGGACGGAGCCCGCAGCGACCAAGTCCTCCCATTTAACACCTAGCTGGCCAACCATAGATCTTATCTTTGGAGTTTCTCGCCACCATCTATTCGCATGACATTTCCGGCCTATCTAAGTCACCCTAGTCTAATGAACTTGCAAAGGTGGGTACCTTATTCCAAGTTCGTTCTTTTTCTCCAGATACAACTTTCTATAATAGGACCAAGAATGCTTCGTAAGATTCTTCTTTCAAAGACAAAAAGTGTTTATAAATATCTCATAGGTTTCTATAAAGATTCAGGCTTCTGATCCATAAGATAAAACTAGGCGGACTAAGGTCTTGTATAGATTAACCTTGTAAAGAGTTTTGAAATCTGAAAATAGCACCGAATCGCCTCCGCTCTCCCTCCTATTGATCTCCCGATATGTGATGTTTCCTGAGTTAAGTTCTGACCCCAAATAAATAACGCTGCATATCTTCTCAAAGGTGTAGTCTTTGTCCTCTAACTGGCATGCACTTTGTATTAGCCTTTCTAAAAATCAATCCAAATGTTTGCCTCTTTTTGGGACAAAAATGATTCTTGAAGTCCTATTAAATATAATTACACGAACAAAAATACTTTAAGAGATAGTTTTTATTAATACTTGTTTCTATAAAACATGGTTATATTTTACCGTTTTGGGGGGGGGGAGAGGAGCTTTAGCCCCCCAGATCTCCCTCTCCCCCCCGTAGATCCATCTGTGCTCTCAATCCAGTGAAAAGGAAAGTAGCTAATCCATAATTTTTTTTTTCCTCCCCTTCCTCGCCTTTTATGCTATACGGAGATTTTTGTGGACGTGGGGGTAAGGGCGGGGAATAAAGGCCGGAGTTAAAAGATTAGTTTAAAAGTTAAAAACGCCTCGACAACGGGGCTTGAGCTCAGAATAATTTTAATCAAATTTATTTCTTAAGCTGTTTTATATGATGTAATATTTGAATTTTATTTTATTCAAAATTTCTGTGATACAGTTGTTTTATTGTCACGCTAAAGTTAGTTATTTTAATACGTTCATTATATTTTTTTATTTCTAAAAAGTGGCGGGCACCTCTGAAATTCTGCCGGCGCCCCCAAAAAGCGCCCCTCGAGGTCGGCGCCCCAGGGCAATTGCCCCGGTAGCCCCGCCTTAAGACCAGTACTGCTTCTAAATGTATATATAACATGCACAGCTGTAGTTGCAACTAAGAGTATAGCAACAAAATACTAACTTTTTCAATCATTGTAAATTTGCGTTAGTATTTATTAGATGTGTTAGTTGGCTTTTTTTTTTTTAGTCTTTATTTCATGTTTTCCTAGTACAGATAACTTATTACTAAACTACAATTTATTGTTTTTTATTGAAATATGAAACATTTTTCATGTTTTAATTTTGTATCTAAAGTAAAATATATTAATCTCAATTAAACCAGTTTAAAATAAAAATATAGCAGTCAAAAATAAAAAGAACGCAACAATAACATTCGAGAGTTACTCGTTCATCAACGATTCGTTCAGTCTTCATTCTTATTTATTGTTGAAACAAATATCTCTGGGGTGTTCAGCGGTCTTTTGTGATTGTTAATTTAAAGTTTGTGACGTTATAAGACATTTCACTGTACAATAATGTTTGTTTTTTACATACTTTGTTCGCTGGTTTATACCTTTATGGGCTGAGTGTTTTCCTTTTTCGACCAATTTGAAGCCTACCTTGTTTATTGAAACAAGTGAATTAATGATTAAACCTTTGGTCAAGATCAAATATCTATTTTCACAATAATGTACTCTTTTTTATAGTTCTGTGTTCTTTGGATTTTATTAGTGCTGTGATATTATTTAGATTTTTAGACAAAGATTAACATTATTTGTTTTATTATCGTGAGCTGCCACATTGTTTTGGTTTTTAACTGTGCTAAGTAGACGTTTTTGATTGTGGTTTCTTCATAGATGACTGAGAAATATTGTTGGATGTATTTCAGGTGATACTAATGCTCATTAATGTATCATCTTTGACTATGAATGCTACACTGCCTCTAGTTTTTTCTGGTGGTTTTCCAAAGTCTCTCTATGAACTAGATGAGGTAAGTTACTTAATGTTACTATCTATATATATATTTTTTAAGTCTCGTAACAGTGTCACAGAATAATCTTTTGTGAAATCAGTCTGGTTACTGGTTAGACTGATTTATCTATAACTATGTACAATATTTTCAACCTGTCATTTGTAGTGGTTACCTTTCTAAGATTCAATATTGTTAATAATGTTGTTTCTTTCACCTGTACCAACTATGTATACATGCATTTTCATTTGTTTATTAAGTTTTTATAATAAATTTTAATGTATTTTGGAATCGTGATTGTCAATTTTTTTTTTCGTTTAATGAAATATTCTGTTTATTAAATATCCTTTGGCAGAGGATACAGCAGGATTGTTTACGTTTTACTCTTTATTACTGATTTATTGTTTGAAACAATGTACATGCTACTTTGAAATAAACAACTGACAAATGAGCCAAAACCAGCTCTTGGATTGCTATAAATTTAATCCAGCTTGGCCATATTTGTCTAAAACACTGCTCTTTACTAAATATTTTTACTTTATTTAAATGCCAACTCTGTTCCCAATTATTTGTATGGAAATGTTCTTTAAAGCCCTACTTTCATATTTTCTTTGTTTGCTATTTCAGCACCGTTTTATGATGTTATATAATTTTTAATTGGGGAGTTACAGGTACTAAATAATTTTTGGTAAGAAATCTAACTAAGGAATTGTTTTGATCATTTGATTATAGCTTGGATCTTGTCACCGAAAGTTGACTATTCTCAACATAATGTTTTTGTCTGGGTTACAATGAATTGTATGTGTAAAATTTTACAATATAGATTGAAATATTATTTTTGATATTAGATATTGAACAAGAGCTGTTCAATTGTTAAGTTTAATTTTTTTGAAATATATATGACAGACCATGAATTCTTTTGTGTTGTAATTAATAAAGCTTTACTAATTCTTGAACAAAGATTATAGTAAGGTGCAATGTGAATAGCACCAAGCTTAACCCCCAGATTTTATTCTCGAAAACCTGCAACCTGATGGCGCCTGTTCGTGATAATGGCCATGTCTCAGAGCCATACGTCAGTACAGGTCTAATATGTACAATATTTGTACAGAGCAATCTTAGTGGATCTAGCCAGCAAATGACTTCTTAAAATTTTAGCTAGGCCAAAATAGCACCTATCAGCTGATGTAATTCTGCTCTGTGCTTTGTGGCTAGGCATATTTTCTGCACAAACTAAGGATCTTAGATACGCAAAATTATTTACGCTTTCGAATGTGTATACTCCAACTGTAACTGTTGGTAGTAGTGGCCTTGTGAGTTGGCAATCATATATTTGGTCTTAGCTTGGTTAATACTTAGACCTATTACCTGGCCTGCTGCCTCTATAGCTAAGTAGGTCCTTTTTAAGTCCCTCTGTGATCTAGCTATAATATCTATGTCATCTGCGTAAGCTAGAATTTGTACTGACTTTGTGAGAATCATCCCACTTCTTTGTATTTCGGAGTCCCTTATCACCTTTTAGTGGAAGATTAAAGAGCAGGCATGATAATCCATCTCCTAGTCTTAGAACCCTTGAGGTCATGAATGCCTCTAACAGGTCCCACTTTATTCTGATTTGACATCTTGATTCTATCATCAGCAGCTCTGTAAGATGGATCAATTCAAGGTGAATATTCATTGTTTCCATAGCCTGGTACAACCTCTCTCTGATGACACTATCATATACACTGCTAAAATCTACGAAAAGTGGTGTGTGATAATATTATAGTCCCTTGTTCTGTCAAGTAGGATTCTTAAGCCAAAGATTTTATCAGTGTGTTAGATCTTCCTCTCATGAAACCACATTGGTAGATTCCCACCTCTCTTTCTGCATGCGGAACTATATTGCTGTGTTAGGAAGTATATTGAGGAGACTTATGCCCATCACGGTAATTATTGCAGTTAGTTTAATCTTCCTTTTTATGGAGAGAGATGATGGCATCATCATTACCGGCGTCGGTGTACCATTCCTCAGGCATGGTCTTAGTTATCCCAATACTATGGATAAGGTCACAGATAACTTTGATTAGTTTGTTCCCCCCAGCCTTCAGATGTGCCGTGGCTATGTTATCAGATTCTGGGGCTCTGTTGTACTCAAGTTTTTGAATGGAGTCGTAGATTTCCTCATCTGGTGGATTGGTTAACTAGAAGCCATTGTATAGAACAGGAATTAGAGTATTAACCGTGGGGTCCTGAGGGGTGCCCAAAATACTTCCAAAGTGGGTGACCCATCTTCAAAAGGCCCTCTTAAAGCTTTATCAAGTCTCTGGATGAATTTCTCCTTACATTCTGGTTTATGTAGTTTCCGAGTACTAATCATTTCCATTCGAGCCTCTTTCGTTTTATGAGCATTACTTATTCTGGCTCAAATTCTTAATATAACCAGGTAGTGATCACTGTTAACATTCGCTCATCTGAATGTTCTCACTACCATGTGACTGGGCCTTTGTCTCTGACTAACCAGAAAATGATAAATTTGGGTGCTAGTGCTGTTATCTAGGATAATCCTCATGGCTTTTTAGATGTTTTTATGGTCAAACATAACCATATCTTGGGAGGCGGTGAAATCCACCAACTTTGAACCATTATCATTAGATTCTGGATTTAGATTATGTCTTCCTACGATTGGCAAAAGAACGAGCTCTCTTCCGACCAGTGCACCATCATGGCGTGGGCATTCTGCAAGCACCCGTTCTAAGTCATAATAAAAATCATCTTTAGCCTGCTCTTCTGCTACCTCAGTTGGTGCATGAACAGAAACCAAAGATTAATTCTAAATCTGCCTAAAGCAAAACAGGATTTGCTGAGAAAGTAATTTTATGAGATGGATTATATAAAACAACCTGGTTATAAGAGAGTAAATAGAGGAACACAGAGTTAGGAGTTCTAAGATGTCGGGAGGATTTTTGATTCTTATGACTTGGAAAAGGAAAACACCAAGAAGGAGTTGTCTTGAGAACGCCTGGGAATCCTGAAGATGAATTCTATGAAACAGTACATGAGTTTCCTCAATCTCATTTCCAGTCGTGCAGACAGCCCTCTAAAAACCAAGCAACCGTAGTCGAAGTTGAGGAAAACGAGGGAAGTTACAAAGAGAAATAGAATCACGGAAACTTAGGAGTTATTTAAGAACAGTTATGGATTTTCAGGTAACTGGGAGAAATGATTATTTCCAGAATAAGTTCTGATCAAAGATTACTCCTTCATTTTTTACTATTGAGAGAAAATGGATGAGGGAGGGGGAGGGGAGAGTTACTGAGGTAAACTAGAGGAGTGTAAGGAAGGAAACTAATCAGATGTCTTGGAACGGATCAGAAAAGCTCTAGTTTTTTCTGCATTCAGCTTTAGCTCATTTATGTCTGCCCATCTGTTGATGCAGTCGATATTCTCTTATTGCTTTTAAGTAGCCTCAGGTATCTCTGAAGTTTGAAACAATTGGTAAATATAGAAATCATCGTCATATAAGTGATAACAGGAGTGATAAATGGAATCCGAAAGATCCATAATATAAATAGAAAAAAGGTATAGTCTGAGAGAGCGAGGAGCCATAAGGAACATCCCATGTTAATTGGAGGGGTGACAACGGAAATTTGTTATGAATGATTACTGTCTGGCACAGGCGGATCTATGGGGTGTGCTTTCGGGTGAAGCCTCCCAAAATGCTAAAATATAACCTTGTCTCATGATAAAATGTTAAAAAATTATCTCTTAAAATATTATTACTCATGTAATTACATTTAATAGGATTTCAACAATCACCAATATATAATTTCATATAGTTTCTTTCTTTTTTTTCGAAGTAATTATCTTTATATTTATATGAAAAAAAGTTTTTGGGCTGAAGCCCTCCAAAATTAAATCCTGGATCTGTAAGTGTTGTCTGGGGCAGTGGAATAAGAAGAAGTTGAACCATTTTAGAATGCTATTTAATATAGGTAGGCTTTGGAGTTTCTTATGAAAGGAGGATCTTATAATTGATGGAATCAAAAGCTTTTGAAAAGAGGAGTGAGTAGGGTTCTGTAGTAGTCTCAGTAGTAGGGTTCTGAGCTTCTAATGCTAAAGATCCCAAGTTCGAATCCCTGCTCATGGCAGAAAAATTATTTATTCTGATTCATTGCCCTACGGCGACTCTCCTGGGTCACACCCAGCCTGTATAAAGTGGGTATCCTAAATTAAAAATAATTAATTAAGGAGAAAAACTTGGCAGTTGAGTATGATCTTGGTCAAATCACCTCCTTGTACAATCGTAGACCAAGAAACAGTGCTTTTCCTAAATAGTACTGAACTCAAGACCCTTCATTGGTTGTAGTGGTACAGGTTTTTTTTTTTAAGCCTTTTGAAAAGGCAAGAAGGATTAGTATAGAGATTTTCTTTTTATCATTGGAGGATTGGAGGTCTTGTGTAATCTTTGTCGAGACAAATTGGGTAGAATATTGGAAACAGAAACTGGATTGTAGTAAAGGATATAGAAGACGGTTTTGCTCAAAAAAGTTGTTAAACTGAGATTGGACTAATCTTTCCCATGGCTTTGATAAATTCAATAAAATAGAGATGGATCTGAAGTTGGGAGCTGAGGAAGGAGCAGACAGACTTTCATGGACGAACAATGCTATACCTCCATCAGTTCGATGTAGCTGACCATGATGACAGAGGCTACAGTTGGTTATGAAAATGAATTGGGAATATCAAGTTTGAGCAATGTTTCCGAGACGGCAATGATATAGAAGTTATGGAAGAAATATTCCATGAAATTGTCATAATGTGCAGAAAGAAATTTGAAGTTAACGTGGCAGGACATTAAGGTATTAGTCAAGGAATCTAGGAAGGAATATGTAGTAGAGTAAGATAAAACGGAATTAAAATTAATGGAGAAGGCACATTTCTGAAAATACATGATGAAACAAGATAAAAAAACTTGTATATGATATTTATGAAAATAATTGTTGGCTGTTTTAAACAAGAATGAGCACATATGAAAATAA